TCGGGTGCTAGCGGCAGCATGAGCTAGCGGTGGGCTGCTGCTGCATGGGATTGGGCGGCGGGAGCTGGATGGCGGGGGTTGGAGAAGAGTTGGGGGGCTGGAGGGGGAGGTTGCTGTCAGCCCGGACCGGAGCGACGCTCCCCGTGTCTGTGTCCCCCGGCTCTGGGCGAGGTGGGATGCTCTTGCTGCTGTTGCCACTGCGGGAAGCGGCTGCTCAGTGCTCAGATCTCCATTACACTCAGCGATGCGTCTGCTGGTTCTTCCCCGCCGCCCTTCTGCCTTCACCTCCCCCTTTTTCTAGACTTCGAGATGACCTGCTGATTATGCTTGGCAACCTGTGGGCATTAGAGGGCCCAAATAATAGTCTGCAAAGAAAATAGGAATGAAGAAGAGGATGGGAACGTGATGCATTTGTGCGGTGTTATTGATTGGCGGGGTACCAGCAGCAGGAGACAGGCAGTTGTTTTGTTTTCTGTGTTGGAAAGAGTATCTGTTTTTTAGTATTTCCAGTGTCTGATTTTGCTACAAAACGTCATGCATCTTTCTGCACATAATCATTATGCAGTCTCTGTGGTGTTTTTAAGGTTGATTTGTAAAGGTTGATTTAAGTAAAACTAGTAATTAGGGAAGGGGAAGAAATCCCGTCAAGCTGGAAAAATATCCACGGTTATGCTGAGGTAGGGAGCTGTGAGTAGCACTGGATTTACATGTTTAATGAAATATTGCTCTACCTTGATGGTTTAAGCTCACTGCTGATTTTGTTTTCTCCTCTGCTTTTTGGAAAGCTGCTATCGACCTTTTGCTTATGAATGTTCTTGAATTCTCAAACTGTGACTACTGCTGGATAATTTAAGTATGCTTTGCTGAAAGCTACAGGTATCTCCATGGACACAGGCTGTTTACAACTCTGGGTTCTTGTAAGGTAGCTGAATATGCTTACAGAATTGTCGGCAGCTCTTAACTGTAATAAATTCACTCTTATTTGTAGAATAAAGAAGAAATACAAACTTCACTTCGAAAACAGACTTCTCTTTTCTTTGCTGATGTAACAATCAGATTCTAGAATGTGCGCCTATGAAGAAATACTCTTTTTAGAGTTATTGTACAGCAAGAAATGGGGAAAAAATGTAATTGTAGGGACTGATTCCTTACTTCTGAAGCAGATCGCTTTGGTATGTCTTTGTTACGGTCAGTAAGCAGATCTGACCTGATCGTATGAGAATAATCTTAAGTGAACGTAAGGTTTTTTGTAGTTTGCTTCAATGGCAGGATTTAAAATCTGTGGATTTCTTAGCAGAGGTTTTGGGAAGAGAACAAAGTTTTTACGTCTTCACTGTAGCAAGATGAGAATATGTGCATTAGTGCGCTTGCCTGTTTAAATACCTTGTAGCTTTATTGGATTACTGTTCTTTATTAGAGGATTCTTATTGGGTGTAATGCTTTTAAACCAAAAACTACTGTTGTCTGTGTGTTTTCTTTTTATGGTAGGTTAATAAAAATGGTTTGAGAAATCTGAAAATTTGTGCTTCATCTGAATCTAGCTAGCACTACCACGGAATCATGCTAGCACTTTTCCTAGCATGTTGTGCCAGTAAGTTCATTAGAGTATGGTTCACTACATCTTTATAGTGAAGGTCATTTATTGAATCATTTGTCTGCCAGTTCTTTTCAAATATCTCCAAAAGAAAATGACTTAACTCTGTTCTCATTCTTTGAGCTTCACCACAGAGGCTGGATAACATTTTGCATGCATGGAATCAGATCTCGTAATGAGATTATGTGGGCAAACCCATTTGAGTATTGAGATACTTTCATATGAGTAAGGATTAAGCTACTTTGGCCCCATTCAAGTCTCAGTTTTTGAAGAGTAACTTCACAGCGTGAAATGCTTTTGACATGTCTCCTCGCCCAACATCCTGTGAATTGCTATAGGAAAAGAAAAAAGCTGAATTTTGAAGTAGCTAATGTTATTAATAAAATATTATAACTGGAGGGTTTAAATTAGAAGAAGGATACTTAGCATGTTGGATGTTTGTAAGCGTATGATTTCTGTGTAATAAGTACTTTCTAACTCAGAAGAGGTTAGGCAGTAAATCTTGTACCTGCTGCTTTTGTGAGTTGTAGAAATAGTGTGTTCAGTTATTTAAGAATTGTAACAGTGTTGAGTAGTGAGTCATTTTTAAATCCCAAACTGTTGCTGTGCAAATGACCCGATCTTGCTTTGACAGAAAAGTTCACGTTAACAAACCTTATCCATTACATTTATGAAGGACAGCGTATTGGAGAAGTATCGTCATCGTTGTGCGCTGAGGACAATTGAAGCATGAGGAAGTGAAGAAAAAAATTAACGCTAAACTTCTGATTTTTGTGGCTTTTAATTTAGAATTTACTCTTGGACCATGCTGCATGACAAAAACAATCTCTCAAATAGCCTCATGTTAGTAATTCATACTGTAATTAAATATTTCTTAGAAACTTCTAGAGCAATTGGTACTTTATGCTTAAAAATTGATTGAGTCGATATGGATGCAAGTTCAAAGGACTGATTCCGTCCTGCAGGTCACTTGACAGTTGCTGAAGATTCTGTCTGAAAGGCGTCTGTTAACTCACAGACCTTCTGTATTAACAATATGAAAAGTAGGTGCTTTTTAAGGTAGTAGAGGTTCCTAGACTACTTGAGTTTTGCGGTATTGACTCATATAATTTAATCAGCCTTCCTGGAGAACAGGAAAACGTTGACACTTATTTGGCATTTCTCTTCAAATATACTTCTTTTGGCTAGGGCTAAGAAAAGTAGCTGTACAAATCTGTAGGTGAAGAAAGATGTAAAGTGTGCATTGTGTAAACCGGTTTATTTCTTGATGGAAGGTTTTTTTTGTTACGGGTAATAATCCTTAAAATATACAGATTGTACTGTCATTTTGCTTTGTAGTAATTAAAACTTCAGAATCACCCTTTTCTATGTTTTTTTTTTAATCACTTAAAAGTATTGCGTGTACACTAACAATTAGCTAATTAATTCCATTAATTTAATTCAATTAATTTAATGGAATGTTCAAAATAACTGTATGGTAACATCGGCCTTTTTTTATTGAGAATACTCTTGATTCACTTTAGTCAAATTGAAGTAAATAACTGGTTTCTTTCCTCATCGGTTGGAGGATGTTGTTTATTGTGATCTTATCAGTTCAGAAATTTAAGCGTGGTTAGTAGTTGTAGAAGTTTTTTCGTAATTTGATGGTAACATAAGAGCAAAGACTGTCCAGAAAACACCATTTTCAGAACTACTGCTTTTTCAGATCAGGTGTAAACTGAGATAATGCAGTCATTCGTCTGAGGGCTCCGGTTTTAACGTTCTGACTGAAAGTCTAGATCTTGAATAAAGTTCAAGTATTACTGCTATTTATGGGAATTTTAAAATTTAACTGTTCATTTCTTTAGAGCAAACTAAATTTTAATGTAAAGATGGATTTTAATTGCTTTCGGCCGGGTTGGCTGACCTGCACGTTTATGTGCTGGCTTTGGTGAATTTACTCTTTGATGGTTAAGAAGAGACTTAAAACGCTGTCCTTAAAAGCGTAGCTAAACAACTTCTTCAGCACCTTGCTAACTTCCTCCTTTTGACCTTGCTTATTAGATTGCGTTTTGAACGGGACGCGACGGTCTCCGCCTGCTCTTCTGGGTATGGTTGTTATTCAGTGAGAGATCAACCTTTCAACCTCAGATCAGCTGCAGTAGTGAGACATCAAAGAATTTTTGAGTATCAATTATTTGAGTAGTTCTTCCTGCGGTTTAATTTAAAAACTAACTTACATGAAAGAAAATTCTTTTTAATTCAGTTTTAAAACTAGGATCGTCAAATACTTCTTCAAAATATTTCGGAGTTCTGAGTTTTCTTTTTCTTCTGTATACCTACGTAAGCTGCTGAAGTAAGGTCATGCAAACAATGAGTAGTAAATGCAGCTAATCAATAAACACTTTAGAGTATCTTTGATACTTTCTCATCAAAGGAGTAGATAATGTTAAATCATGGCATGTGTCTGTTTACGGACTGAAGATTAGGTGAAAATCAAATTACTTCTACGTAAGCTCTTCTAGATTTTTGATTGGAATCAGTAAGCATTAAAAACATGTCGGGACTAAACCTCTAATTTGAGTTAAAGCTATAGAAACTTGTTATAGCTTATTTGGGGTTTTCTTTTCTTTTTGTACATACAAATTTTTCATATTCATATTGTGGTGTTTTTGTGGAAGTTATCTCTTAAGATGTCTGATTCACTGTTACTTCAACTTGGTTATAGCTAATGAAGTTTTACTGGCTTAAACCGGCAAGGTTCTGGGCAAACCTGGACCCATGAAGATTGTCTTCCATTTTTTTTTTCTCTTTTAGAAAGATTATATATGCTGAGTGTAAAGTTAGTGTTACTGTATTCTGACTGTTGAAGTGAAGGGTAAGGCGTACTTTAGCTAAGTTTCCTTTTCTGATAATAGATTAAATAAGTTTCTTTAGATATTGTCACTAGAAAATTTAGTTGAAAACTTGAAGCATGTTCACATGTGAAATATGCGTTGCATCTAAAATTCAGCAAAATAAGGCCTCGCTGCTCTTGTGCATTGTGAGGAGTGCATTCTAGTTTATTTTATTGAAAAAATCTTGTCTAATACAGTTTTGCAAGATAATCTTGAGTAAACACATTTTAGAGAAGTGACAATGCAATAAAATAAATCCCATTACTTTAGGAATACTTTAACTTCTGAACCTGTTTGCTCTGTTTACCTAAATTCAACGGGGATGTGGTGACTTCAAACGTACAAAGTTTCTGCCTGTAACATGACAATCTGAGCCCCAGACTTGTGCCCCCACTGAAAGAGGGGCACAGCTCCTTACTTGTTTTGAGAGGCAGGACCATGTGGCTGGTGTAGCCTTTACGCACTTGGCTGCCCGTCGCAAGTGGGTGGCTCAGAAACAATAATAGTGTGGGTTGCCACTTGCACAGGCGAACTGGGTGGAGCAACGCTCAGGTGAATGGAGGAGCAAGCACAGACATACTCAGGATGTCGAAGGAGCATGAGGACTTAGGGTAAAGTGGATAAATTATTAGGGAAGCACAGGAGATCATGCTGCATTAGTTCTGTCGTCTTTCTCTATGTGCTTTTAGTTACTGCAAAATTTTTAGGTGTCATAATTCTCGGGTAAAAATCTGCACAACCAAAGTATTGCCTTGGTTTTAAACACCATTCAGTGTTTCTGAATGATCTGAATAACAGGTTCAGTGTAATGTATATGATTCAATTTTGATTCCGAAGTAATTTTTTCTCCTTACTGTGGATATCGTTTTTAAGGCTGTTAGTATGCGTAGCAAGGTGGGGGATTATTCTCCCCCTTGGACTTAAAGTAATGTTTAGATGGTGGCATTTCAGAGATGTTCTAAACTGGTAATAAATGATAATCTAAGAATTTCAGAAAAATGTAGCGTGTTTTATGAGCGACTTAAGAATGAAAACAGCATTTAGGGAAAGTGATGATGGAGATCTCAGGAAAATGTTGTTTATTTTTGTTAACTATTTTTCATAAAGTGATGATGGCCAGAAGTTTACTATAAAAACGAATCTAGTAATGTAGAATATTTGCAGTACAATACTAAATTATTTTGGAACTTTATTAATAGGCAGGAAA